GTGCCATCATGGCACCGGATACCGGTACCCATCCCTACTTAAGACTGTTAGAACAAAACTGAACATGGTAAAGACTCTTTATTGCAGGACTGTGGTGTTAACCTGCACTAGTTTTAACTAAGTGTGTTTTTGTCTCTTCAGGATGCAGGTGCTGGGCTCCTGGCAGCTGCCATGATCGCAGTGGTGCCTGGTTACATCTCTCGTTCTGTTGCTGGCTCCTACGATAATGAAGGTAACAGAAACTCAGTGGCTGCTCATTTTATTCATCAGTCAGAAAGGGCTTTTTCCCTGGTAAACTATGTTATATATTCAGTCAATAATGAAAGTAAAGTAAAGCTGTAGCATTAGAGGATATACACCGAAAGTGCAAAACAGTATGATAAGAAAATGATCCTCCCCGCTCAGGTATTGCCATCTTCTGCATGCTGTTGACCTACTACATGTGGATCAAGGCTGTGAAAACCGGCTCGGTGTATTGGTCGTCCATGTGTGCGCTGGCTTACTTCTACATGGTGAGGAGATGCAGCTGATCTGCATGTTGTACTGAGTGCGTTACGATGTGACTTTGGTCATGAAATGGTCTCTGTGTGCATTTAGGTTTCCTCCTGGGGTGGCTACGTGTTCCTCATCAACCTTATTCCCCTCCACGTCCTGGTTCTGATGCTCACAGGCCGATTCTCACACCGCATATATGTGGCTTACTGCACAGTCTACTGCCTGGGCACCATCCTCTCCATGCAAATCTCTTTTGTTGGTTTCCAGGTAAAAAGAACCATCTCGTTTCATCACCTGACACACCCTCCTTCCTGGACGTTTTTTTGTTAAAGATTAAAAAGTAGTGATATTCTCACGATGAGAAGTTTCACTTTGCTTTGTATCACACTGTTCACCTTTTTCATTTACCAGCCGGTGCAGTCATCAGAGCACATGGCAGCCTTTGGCGTGTTTGGTCTGTGCCAGATCCATGCTTTTGTGGACTACCTGCGCAGCAAACTCAATGCTCAGCAATTTGAGGTGCTGTTCAAGAGCGTCATCTCTCTGGTGGGCTTTATCCTGTTGTCTGCAGGTGCTGTTCTCATGCTGACAGGTAAGAGGATTAACAATAACAGTAATGAATGGGAAACCTTTGTAAAAGCTTTTGACGTGACATGATAAGTACGTTTCTGTCAGGTAAAATCTCTCCGTGGACCGGGCGTTTCTACTCCTTGCTGGACCCTTCCTATGCCAAGAACAATATCCCCATCATCGCCTCTGTGTCCGAGCACCAGCCTACCACCTGGTCCTCATACTACTTTGATCTGCAGCTCCTGGTCTTCATGTTCCCAGGCAAGTCGGCAAAAGCACAGCGTAGCACTGGCTTAATATTCTGTAATCACTCCATATTTCATTC